CCCCAAAACCCCAAAACCCCAAAACCCCAGGAGTTAAATTCTGACAAAGAAATAGTAATTCGCAATAATTATAAATTTAATTATATCTAGAAATCAATGCAAGATATTAGAAACGATTTGGACATTGAGCAAGACAATTTACTCAGACTTCAATACGACTATGAATTCATTTAAGCTCTTGTTGATGCAAGATATGTTAAAAGTAATCAAAATTAACTATGTCATACATGAAATAGAGCTAATGACATCTGGCTACTTTGAAGACGGCAGATTCTTGAATTATTTGGAATATTTGAAGTATTGGAGAAGGCCAGAGTACCTCAAATACCTAATAACACCGAGATGTCTTGAAATATTGGAAATGCTTTTAAATTCAGATTTTAGAAAAGAGCTAAAGAACAATGAGCAGTTATATTAGAGTTTGTGAAGTTTAGCATTTACTTAGTGATATTATATAGATAATGGTTTGTTGCACAGTAATAAGTTAAACAAATTTAAGTATATAAATGCTAAAGTAGATGTTAAGTTAATTTTGTTAAAAATAAATCTTATCATCAATAACATCAAAGACATAAAATTCATCATTGCATCATCTTAGCGAGTTTGCCCATTAAGAGACCACCTGCAGCAGGGACAACTTGCTCGTCTTTCTTTGCCTTTGAGGCTTTCTTGTCCTTGATTGATTTCTTTCCCTTCTTGGCAAGATAGAAGTCCATTGCTGGTCTGAATTGTTTGTGGAATCCAGTCTCGAATTTGAATTCGTTCAAAACTTCATCTGGGATGTAGGCCATATTCAAGACGATTGAGACAATATCTGATTGCTCGCAATCGTTACCCTCATCATCATCATCGTCCTTAATCAAGGTGTCTCTTGATGGGACATCACAACAGATATATTGGAAGTCTCTGTAGTAGAGTGGGTTTGCTAGGATAATATAGTAGGGTACTCCTTGAATTGCCTTCTTTGGAGTGCCGACGGTGTCAAGAGTCTTTGCAACTTGACTGCTGATGATAGAGAATCCGTATTCTTCCTTGAGGTTTTGGTTTTCCTTTAGAAGCCAGTCAGCGTCTCTGAGTCTGATTGATTCGAAGAAATATGGTAAGTTCTCATCAACGTTGATTTTAGATCCACCGAAAGTGAATCCCCATTTCTTAAGGGTCTTCTTGAAGAAGCTTTGCATAAGAATGATAACAAAGACACAAAGTCCCATGAAGAGAAGTGGATAAGCTTGGTCAACTCTGATGCTTCTGATGGTGTGGTTTGATTTCATAAGCTCATTTGTAACACTAATGAGATTGTATTGACTGCTGAAGATGATCTTGCTTGAGAGCATCCAGTATCCAAAGAATAAATAGAAGATAGTGGCCCATCTCATTTTGCCGAGGGCATTCTTGGTCATTTGATCATCAAAGGTAGGTGGAAGTTGATAGAAATAAGCAGTCAAGATTCTTTCGAGGGAGTAGAGAACGAAATAGGTCCATGCGGCAATTGGGAAAAGAAGGGGGATACCAAGACCATACATCATAGTGACAAAGGTAACATTGAGAATACCTGAGTACTTGAAATGGATAAGATATTCTGGACCACTGTAAATATCAACATATTGTTGCATGTTAGTCTTCTTGGTCTTGTAGGTATCTTTACCCCAGCTTCTGTCCATCTTTCTGAAAACCCAGAGCTTTGAAAAGGCAATACCGAATTCAATAATTGGGAAGATTGAGTTGATAATCATAGTTTGAGTGAGCTTGTAACCTACAGCAGTGTACCAAAGAGGGAGGTAGTCATAGAATGGGCCGTTAAAGACTTTATCGGCAAGTGGGAATCCTACTTCTCCAAGGTTGGCTTGAACCAATAGCATGAGGAAACCAGTGTTAAGGAATTGAGTGATGAATACACCATTGGTAATTGATTTCAATTATTGAGAGTAAGTATCCTCTCCAATCCACTTAATCAAGGTAATTAAAACGATTCTAAGAACTGAGTTGATAGCAACGATAGCGAACGACATAATGCCTCCAAGTACTTGAGAAAGAAGCTTATCTTACAAATAAGTGTAGCAAATTGGCTTTTGAACATAGGAGTTAGTGGTATCTTCTAGTCTAGTTCCATTGACAGTTGTGCTTTTGGTGAAGCTCTTGTCCTCTTTCTTTTGAATATCACAGTAGCATTTTAGAGTGCTCATGTAAATTGGCTCAGCCTTTTCCTTGTCGTCTTTGTCGAAATTTCTGTCCCACTCAGCGAATGCATTAGCTGCGAATGAGTTTCCTTGAGTTTTGGCGACATCCTAACAATCAGCAGCTGGGTACTTCAAAATAGCCTTGTTGGCAATCTTTGAGCAGGTGAAAATGAAGATGAATGAGATTGAGAGAAGGAGGAAAACACATGAAATAACTATAGAGGTTCTCTTAATTCTGTCCCATCTGGTGAAATGTCTGTTTTCCCAGATAATATCAGTTGGTTCAGCTGCATCTTCGAAATCTAGTTCTTGGTCTAGGAGGGATCTGATATCAGCGAACTCATTGACGGTGACGGTATCCTTGTAAGCTTTGCATCTGTTAAGGCCCTCTTCGTTCTCAAGGGTCAAGAATGCGGTAACTGGTCTGTTATACTTTTCAAGGGATGTTTGCTTTAAATGATCAATTTTCTTGTTAATTTCTCTCATCTTATCGTATTTCTCAAGCTTAATGGCGAGACCTCTTTGCTTAAGTAAGTTAATTAGGTCAGCATTATCGAAAGCAAATGTAAGCATAGAAATTCTAATGCGTTCAACCTTTTAGTCTTCGAATCCAAGATCTGGAAGTCTTGAGAAGTTGTTCTCGAGTTATTCAATAAGATACTTTCTGAATTGAGATAACTTTGTGGCTGCAATATCTTGTTTGTAAATCTTTTCAAGGAAATTTTTCCACATTTTCTCAGAAATATCTAATTCAACTGAGTAGTCTCCAGCAGTGATAGTCTTGACATCCCACTCAATGTTGAGATTCTTGAAGATACTCTTAAGATAGTCAACATAGACTACGAAGAAAAGAGAGATAAAGACTCCCATGCAACCAATGACTAAACCTTGAACTCTTCTATCTTAATTCTCTTCTTTGTGGAAAGTGCAGGGAATTTGGACGAAGAAATTGGAAGTTTCCTCTAGGCATAGCTTGCTCTTGGCAGTAACAGTGTTAGTAATCATACCTCTGATCTTTTGGACATCGAGCTAACATTCGTTTGTTTTGAAGCATTCCTTTTGAATGTATGCTTTGACTTTTGCTTAATCGAATTCCTCAGAGCATGGTGTGGTGATATCATTTCTGAGACAATAGTTTTGAGTTTTACTGTTGCCTGGAATGATACCGAAATCAAACTTATCAAAGTGGAATCTTCCAGATTAGCACTCCATTTGGACGAATTGAGATTCCATTGGAGCAATTTTACAAAGAGTTTCACTACCACCTATTAAATTTTAAACATCAAGATCAAAAGATACCCATATTTCCGAGTGAGTACTTAGTGATGAAGGCCATGGATTGCTTGGCGAGACCACCATATGAAGCGTAAATGAAGACAGAGGGCAGAGAGAAGACAAAAAGCAAAAGCATGAGCACCATTAAGTATTTCAAGGTGTCATAATAGGCATTCATACCGAAACCTAAAAGATAGAGATTAGACTTAAGAAACTGTTGAATATTTGGAGTGAGAATAAAAATGGAGCAGGGACTTACCGAGTCTAAGGAAGGGGTCCTCCTCGAGTTTCATATCAGTCTTGGGCATTCTCATGTCCATTTTATGAAGTAGAGCCTTCTTCATAGCAAGTCTGTAGTCCTTCTTGGGCTTCTTTAAGCAGCAGCCGCAAAGTCTGAGATATGGAAGAGCCTTCAGGAGAGGGATTCTAGCTAGGGGATGATTGTTATCAATCGTAGACTTAGCTTGATTAATCTATAGGAAGAATTAAATATCGTGTTTAAGGGTACCTGCTGAACATTCAGAGGGGTTGGCTTGTATTTGAAAGGTGTTTCGATTTTTTGATAATGATCGGTATTATCAACTGCACTCATTAAATATCTTTTATTAGTATAATTTCAAGGATCTCTTCGCTATTTATTTATTCAATAACCTCATCTTAGTTGATAGATTCTGGCCTTGAGGGGTTTTGGGGTTTTGGGGTTTTGGGGTTTTGGGG